ATAGACGACACACGTCGTAAAACTGAAATATCCTTTTCAAAGCAGCGAAAAACCAAACATGGTTCATATTCAGGGTAGGGGCGGTCGGGTAGCCTAGTGGTTAAAGCGTTCGCTCGTCACACCGAAGACCCGGGTTCGATTCCCGACATGGGTACAATGTGTGAAGCCCATTTCTGGTGTCCCCCGCCGTGATATTGCTGGAATATTGCTTAAAGCGGCGTAAAACCATACTCACTCACTCACTCACTCATATTCAGGGTGATCATTTAACCTACCTGGGCCGTTGTTGCCTTTAAATACCGCAACAACCAGCATCTTCCTGAGGCAGGGGAATTAACTGACCGTAGCGATCGTAGTGGCGATTACGCGTTATGCCCCTTCTGAGTCCATCCTATTGACCAATCAGATTCCACCTCTCATATCACTTGCAATAGCTTCAAACAAAATGGCGGCGCCCAGTCAAGACCATCTGATCGATAATCAAGATCTATATTGTTATAAAACGGGTCTTAACCCGCGAAGTGCATCAAATCACTTGAGCACCTAGATTAAAAACATGAAAATATTTGCAAAATATCTGTCGACGTCCAGTTGGCTGTACACATGCTTTGCAAATCCTTCAGTCGAAAATCCTGCAATCTGCAAACCGGATGTCAAGTTCGTTTAGCGATTTTGAATGGACTATGCATAGACTCATTAATCCAGCCAAAATGTAACTCCAGATTTCCAGCCTAGTTCGGCATGGGTGGAAACTGGACTTTTATAGTCAGGTAACGCCCTTGCCTCGGGAAGATGCGTACCCAATGGATATTTTTTTTAAAAATAGAAAGTTATTTTTGGGCGGCGGTGTACCTTACCTCTAACCGTAATAACGTCCAACTGCCTCCATAACGGCCGACAAGAAAAAGGGAAAAGCTATCTCTTGATAAATATATATGAGATTTCCCCATAACCCAGCAAAAGCATACACTCACAACGACGGATGCTCTTTAAAAAAAACTAATCATCATTGCATGCAAACTTGGCGGCAAAAAAATTTGTAATGACACCACGAAGCACATCTCGCCACGGCCTTTGATGTCGTGTGATTAAACAAAGGGAGATAACTCTAAAACTGTAACTGCGATTATTAGCCTTATCGACTTTAGCTGCAGGCGATGCAGACTTGGGACCCAGCATTTGAACATAATAACATCAAACTAGCAGCCTTGTGGTGCAGGGGAAATTGAAAACAACATCGCCAGTGAAGGATAATATTCCCGTCCACAGCTGATGACCGTAACCGTTATAACGGTAAAGGAGTTGCGATGAACAACACTTCATTACCTAGGTAACCATTGTATCCACGCGCAGCAGCTTCAAGGAATCACGTGATACCCTGCATATTTAATAAGGTACCTACTTTGTGTAAATAATATTTTTAATAGGCGTTCGAGGAAATGGCAACAGACCTGGGGTGATGAATAGGAGGTTAGATTAGACGCGTCAAACTTGAAGAGAAAAAATGTTTAAATGTTTTATATTGTCAAGTGGCTGTTGGTTGGTTACCTACAAGCGACTTGGCTCTTTCTTTTCTACAAAGGTAAATACGACCGTTTTTAAAAGGCGGAAGCGCTTGCGATAACATTCACGTTAACACAGAATGGCTGGATATATGCAAACAATCCGCGAAGTAATTTGCATTTGCTATTCTTGTTAATTTTCTTAAGAACGTATTGACCAAACGCAAACCTGAACACACATAGGGCCTTCAGATGGACAAATGCTATGGGACCGTTCATGTAATACTCTAGGGTGGGGGTTCGTTGGTTATTATGATTATGATTATGACTTGATATTTTGTCACTTACTGCTGAAAAACCAGGTACGTGTTTTTAATTACAATATGAGCCTAAAATGTTTAATAATATATTTAATATATTTTTTCGTAGCACAGTTTTTCAGGTTTCTAAAAAATCCAAAGCCAACCCCCTCTCTACCCCTGAATATCAACTGGTCGGCACACCACACCACACCCATTAACCACGCCCATCCACAAACACGTTCGTGAAACACAGTAAGTGAGTGAGTATGGTTTTACGCCGCTTTTAGCAATATTCCAGCAATATCACGGCGGGGGACACCAGAAATGGGCTTCACACATTGTACCCATGTCGGGAATCGAACCCGGGTCTTCGGCGTGACGAGCTAACGCTTAAACCACTAGGCTACCCGACCGCCCCGTGAAACACAGAGATCTTCCACTGTGTTCCACCAAGTGCTACGTCGTGTTACAGTATTACCGCAGTAACCAACGCCCGACTCCCCCAGGTATATATAACAACTGTAACACGTTCATCTAAGTGCATTGCTCTTTTCCAACCCTGCTTGATGATTCCGGCACTTCCAATTCTACTTTCCAATCGACCCCCGATCCCTAGGGTCCGGACCAGGGCAGTTGCGCTATCCCCCCACCGCTTGATAACACTAACCCTCATCATAATGACAACCAGACACGTGCAGAAGGGAACAATTGTGGATGTCACTCACAGGGAGAAATGAAATATTGATGTCATGTTGGTTTATCTATTGTTTATTTCTCTGCGCTCGACTTGGCAAAGATCATTTAGTTACTTCTCTACTCAAAGAGATAGAGGAGCGTTATCGTCTTCTAGTTCTGGGAGAATCACCGACGTCATCCTGTTGGTAACTTATTTCCTTTCTTTGTCTTCCAGTCCAAATCAGAATGATTTGGTTGGTTGGTTTGTTGGTTTATGCCGCACTCAGCAATATTCCAGATATATGACGGCGGTCTGTAAATAATCGAGGCAATCTAGTGATTGACATCATGAGCATCGATCCACGCCATTGGGATCGATGACATGCATCAACCAAGTCAGTGAGCCTGACCACCCGATCCCGTTAGTCGCCTCTTACAACAAGCATCGTCGCCTTTTACGGCAAGCATTGGTTGCTGAAGACCTACTCTACCCCGGATCATCACGGGTCAATTCAGAATAAAATCTTCGGTACATATTACAATCGTTTCCGGGGTAAAGTGGGCTTATTGAACACAACAGTGTCTGATTTCTTGAACTATTACAAATTGATGACGCATCTGAAAAAGAGAGCAATTTAGAAATTTTCTTATACTGTTGATCAGAATAACGACACAAGTTACCGTGCCGTGTTCTCTGACTCAGTGCTAGACACTGACTTATCTTCGGCATGACAACTTCACTGTACAGGAATTGACAGATCAAATTAAAAAGACAACGATGTCAACATTTAATTCCTGTGGTACAGAGACTCGCCACATGATGGCAATTGAAAGCGATGATGTCGAAGTCGTCAATTCGCAACTAGATATCGCGTGTATTGTCATTATGAAGTTATTTTAAGACATTACTTTAGAACCGCGTATGAATACAACGTTTGAGTGAGCCGCCCCATGTATCAAATAGTGCCAGATGAGTTGCAGTTTGTTTGTCCAAAGGCATCAGGAAAATCTGTCTGAACGTCATGGAAGAATGATAAAACATGAAGTCCATTCGATCTGACCTCATTTGCATATTTATCTGATCGTGATTTGTTTATCGCATCGATAACACTATCCATTGAATGATAAAATCTTAATACTGACAGATGTATAGAGCCTGTTGACAGAGCTTTTGTCTAAATGTTTTGACGAATGGGAATCATTATTAAAACCGGCATTAGTCCGGACTAGAACAAGCACACACACGCACGCACACACGCACGCGCGCGCACGCACTCAGGCACTCACGCACACACACATTTCACTTCACACCTCACATTAATGTTCATGACATCCGTCGTGCCATGAAGATTCAGGGTTAGAATTGGTCTTTAGCAACCCATGCTTGTCGAAAGAGGCGACTAACGGGATCGGGTGGTCAAGCTCGCTGACTTGGTTGATGCATGTCATCGTATCCAAATTGTTTAGATCGATGCGCATGATGTCAATCACTGGATTGTCTGGTCCAGTCTCGGTCATTTACAGACCGGCGTCGTATAGCTGGAATATTGCTGAGTGCGGCGTTGAAGAAGTAAACAAATAAACAAAAACAACAAACATGGCATCTGTCTTCAACTAACCACCAACAATCATTAAGCACACAGTTGCACCCACACTGTACTGCTACGACCCCTCTGTGTGCAAATAATCAAAATTGATATTTACCAGGCTTTTTATCTTTTTACCTATCTTCCTACTCCCGAATATGCCGTACTTCATTTCATCAATGCAAACATTCTGGTCGACATGCCTGTCATGTGCCATGTTAATGATTGTTTTTTGTGACAGTAGCCCCTACTCTTTCTACCACGGACATCAGTAAGGACGGGATTGAAGCTGACCACACGGACTATAAACTTCACGTTAAACCGTAAAATAACATCAATATCAATATTGATCAATATCAATTAAAGCTTCTCAATGTCAATCATTTCATTCGCAGGCATTTTAAGACGATGTTACGCAAGCTCCGTTAAATAGTTAAAAACACATTTCTATATTTTTCCACAAGCGAGCTGAGTCTTCGCCCACGTTATGAAACTGAGCGTGCGTGATAACGGTTAAACGATTTTATCGTATAATAGCAGTATGTGTAAATATCAAAAGCAAGACTCATTTGCGGAAACAACTCAAGGTAGATTTTATCCAAATATTACTCCATTTTCCCAATGCTAAATGAATGTCGATCCAGCCATTCCAGTGCAGTGTTGGCAGCATCAAATTGTCTCGTTGCGTTTGACATATATATCGAACTATGCGTTTTGACCTTTGGCTAAATGAGGTGAGGAGACAAAGCATGTATTGATCGGGACAATCGATTCAAGAAAAACAACAACAACTCGGGGAACTGAAGGGTTCGAAGAGACGCCACAACAGCTCACAAGAGAGGAGAAGACTCTTTATGACGTTGGAAAATTTGGACTCGCTTCAAAGCGTCATTGAGCATATAAGAGTCTTACAGTGTTTGGAGTTTCAGCTTTGAGTGCAGTGTTAAGGACGCGTTGGTTTCAAAGACGGTGTTGTTGAACGTGCAGTAAATTAGCTTTCATGTGATGTATGTATCCTGTGACCCTTTCAATCAAACGGGAAGAGGCGAGTCGGAAGAACGTGTTTCCTAACGGTATCCACGATGAAATAATTTACGTAAGTACATTGTTTGAAGTTCGAATTCTTATCATTATTATTATTCTTTATTTGAAAGGAATGGGTTTTCGTGGCATATTATTATTGATGGTGTATGTGAGTGTCTTGACAAATAGCAAGTTGTTGACGTGGAATAGTGGACGCTTATATCATATTCAAATAACTATGACAACAGGATTGAATCTGAGGGATGCTTTTACAAAAAACGGATCGTTCGGATGTCTGAGAGAATATCACATGCATTTCGCTTTTATTTGCCTACAATGCATGCTGGGAAATACCGTTTTCCATAAAAAAAATGTCACACTTATGTGAAATACTAAACTTGTTTTCTGATGTGCTGTTTCTAAATTTATAAAGAGTTGTTTTTATAAACGAGTATAATTTTTTTAAATAACACTGTGGACGAGTTTGTTACTAACCTGATGGCTTTACCGTACAACGAAACCTCGACAATACGAACCTGTCAACCGATGACCATTGTTGATCATTTGCGTTAACCCGTTTGTGTCGAACTACGTATAGTTCGACAACATATTTGCCATTGTCACGCGACTTTGGAGGCGGCTCTATTAAGCGTCTATGTCGTCCGTTCTATAACGCGTTTATGTAGGCGGATCAAAGGGGCGTTTACGTAGGCGGTTCTCGATCCAATTTTGTAGGCGGCTCTATGACGCGTTTATGTAGGCGGCTTTGTGACGCGTTTATGCAGGCGGTTCTGGATTTATTTTTGTAGGCGGCTCTATAGGGCGTTTATTTAGGCGGCTCTATGGCGTGTTTATGTAGACGGCTCTATGGGGTGTTTATGTAGGCGGCTCAATGGCGCGTTTATGTAGGCGGCTCTAAAGCGCGTTTATGTAGGCGGCTCTATAGCGCGTTTATGTAGGTAGCTGTATGATGCGTATATGTAGGCGGCTCTCTGTCGTGTTTATGTAGGCAGCTCAATTGCGCGTTTATGTAGGCGGCTCTATGGGGTGTTTATGTAGGCGGCTCAATGGCGAGTTTATGTAGGCGGCTCTAAAGCGCGTTAATGTAGGCGGCTCAATGGGGTGTTTATGTAGGCAGCTCTATGGCGCGTTTATGTAGGCGGCACTATGGGGTGTTTATCTAGGCGGCTCTATAGCGCGTTTATGTAGGCGGTTCTTTGGCGCGTTTATGTAGGCGGCTCTAAAGCGCGTTTATGTAGGCGGTTCTTTGGCGTGTTTATGTCGGCGGCTCTATGGCGGGTTTATGTAGGCAGCTCTATGGCGCGTTTATGTCGGCGGTTCTATGGGGTGTTTATCTAGGCGGCTGTATGGCGCGTTTATGTCGGCGGTTCTTTGGCGCGTTTATGCCGGCGGCTCTATAGCGCGTTTATGTAGGCGGTTCTTTGGCGCGTTTATGTCGGCGGCTCTATAGCGCGTTTATGTAGGCGGTTCTTTGGCGTCTTTATGTCGGCGGCTCTATGGCGGGTTTATGTCGGCGGCTCTATGGCGGGTTTATGTAGGCGGCTCTATGGGGCGATTATGTAGGCGGCTCTATAGCGCGTTTATGTAGGCGGCTCTATGGCGGGTTTATGTCGGCGGCTCTATGGCGGGTTTATGTAGGCGGTTCTTTGGCGTGTTTATGTAGGCGGCTCTATAACGCGTTTATGTAGGCGGCTGTATGATGCGTTTATGTAGGCGGCTCTATGGCGCGTTTATGTAGGCGGCTGTATGATGCGTTTATGTAGGCGGCTCTATGGCGCGTTTATGTAGGCGGCTCTATGGGGTGTTTATGTAGGCGGCTCAATGGCGCGTTTATGTCGGCGGCTCTATGGGGTGTTTATGTCGGCGGCTCTATTGCGTGTTTATGTAGGCGGCTCTATGACGCGTTTATGTAGGCGGCTCTATGGCGCGTTTATGTAGGCGGCTCTATGGCGTGTTTATGTAGGGAGCTATATGGCGTGTTTATGTAGGCGGTTCTAAGGCGCGTTTATGTAGGCGGGCCTAAAGCGCGTTTATGTAGACGGCTCTATAGTGTTTTTTGTAGGCGGTTCTTTATTCGTTTATGTTGGCAGTTCTTTAGCATGTTTATGTCGACGGCTCTATGGGGCGTTTGCATCGTTTCCAACTGCAGTTATGCAACTATGTACATTGTAACTGCCGGGATCTGGGGTTCGCATGGGGACGGAAAGGGTACTTTACGTTGGTTATCACGGCAACAATGTCATCAGAATGCGACGACGCTTGTCCAGACAGGCTCTTAGTGGTACCTACATCCCGAGTTATATATTTCCCCTCTGTAACCACTCTGTTGATGCTAAACTGGAGGTGGAGGTTCTCTTGCCTTTGAAGGTGTTGAAGCTGTGTCAAGGGTGGGTACTGTGGGATAAAAATACAAAGAGATGCAAGTACTTTTATATGAATCTCAAACTTGAAGTAAGTGTTTAAATAGGAATGGCAGCACTGATGAATAGGAAACGTATTTTACGCAACCTCTTTGATTAATTTTTTATGTCCTGATTTCGATGAGAGTCAATCGAACTAACATTTCCGTTTCCTGAACACGAGCCTGACAAATTTGCTTAAAATCAACATTCTTTTGACAATTGTTGGAAATGGAATTATTGGTATCTTTGATCGCATCAATCCCGCTGCAAACGTATTTGAAGAGTCTAGCGAGGTGATGCTCATTTTGTATAGGCTCTTTAACTTACTGAGCGGAGGAGCATTTGAGGCTTGATTTGTGGCCGTGGGTCGACGATTTTGGCAGAAGGTGTTTGCCGACGTCGTTGTGTAGCATGGCGTTCGTGGGGCGGAACAGTACGAACAACCTTTGCTATATGTAGTAGGTGCTGACGGCCAGGGGCTATAGAGCGAGACGTAGCTCACGTTGTCTAAAAACCCAATCACGTCGATCGATGGCGGAAGTAAGTGCTCCTCATCATCGCCCTGCTGAATGATGACCGAGTAAGGAGCCTTAGCCGCCTCTCTCATTTTTACAGGTACCTTGTTGTGTGCGTGGTTGTTATCAAGATCAAGATCAAGGGTTTTGAGGTTCTACGTAGTTCGACTTATAGTGATGTTCATTTTGTTACATTTTATTGCATTGTATGGCATCGCAAACTTGACCTTAAAATCTTGTTGATTTTTTACAACATGAATAATTTGAAGTTTTTGTTTTCATAAATAAACCCTTTCCATGTCCAACTTAATCTCTGCATAAAGCAGAGTCGGTTGTACGATTCCGACTTTTCATAAATAAACCCTTTCCATGTCCAACTTAATCTCTGCATAAAGCAGAGTCGGTTGTACGATTCCGGCTATATCATGAATCACTATCAAATATTCGCGAAAAGGTGAGCGTATCCTGCCACACCGGTGGCACCCGTTACAAACACATGCAAAGGCAAGTAAATTGTTCACCTAAATAAACACGGGACCATATGGTACATTGGACACTATGAAAGAACAACACTTACCCTGCTTGTATTTCCGTACGAGTAACACCGAGGTGGCAATGGCGACGACGATGACGATGACAACGATGATGCTTCCAGCAACAGCAGTGATTAGTAAAATATTTCCACCTGGAGTACAAAGCAAACTCAACTTGAATCGTTATATTTATCATTGTTACCAAGACATCCTGTATACATCCTGTATTGTGCTTCAAGTTTCAGAACTATGTTGTAGGTGAAGGCTCCAGCCTTTGGTGTTTACATTTCACAACTTTTGAGATACATTCGATGCATGCTCTTTTCAACAAGATTTCAAAGAGCGTCATACGATTCTTGCTCAGAAGTTGTTTGATCAAGGTTACAACATTCAATGTAAACTCAACCCAATATATTTTTACAATTCTCATCATGGCATCCTGTATCTTGCTTCAAGTTTCAGGACCATGTTGTAGGTGAAGGCTGTGGTCACATATTTTATTCATACTTCGCAGTCATCCACGTTAATAAGATGTAAAACTGATGTTGTAAGAAGATTTACTTACATTTTGTCCAAAAATTGCATAAAAATGAAACTGTATATATGAACATATAATGTATCAATATTTTCAAATTAAAACTAAAACAGTGAAAAGCGGAGTAATATGAAACAAAGAAACGTACAGGGTACCCTACTTAGCTGCAGAAAGGGGTTGAAATTAAGGTAATGTGTGCTAAATAAAATAATATAAAATAAATAAACACCACAATATCCTTTTCCACAATCATAAGAAACCTCGATTCTAACTTTATCATGAGTGTTTAAGAATGACAATCATTCAGTTCGCTAAAAGGTGAGAGTATGATGTCTCACAGGTGGCTCCCATCACAAATACATGCAAAGGAAAGTCAATTGTTCACGTAAAAAGCAACCACACAGAAACATATGGTACAAGTCAAAATAAGGAATTTAATCGGACATACTTTTTGTCACTTATGCGTCAAATTTGGAAATGTCCTCCACGTCTACCATGAAACTTTTGAAAGATTTACTGATGCCTTGAATGTTGTAACCTTGATCAAACAAATAAGAAACATAGATATATATTTTTTTTTAATGATATTTAAATACGATTTGTATTTCACAGGTATCTATAGACATACATATATTAAGTTCCTCGTATGTTGCAAGGATACGTGTTATCGTCGAGCTTAAAATACATGTATGTGCCAAATTGTAAAATCGTCACCCCCATGTGAAGAAAAGAATAAAACTCATACATTGAAAAAATGAAATATATTAAGAAAGCGCATTTATTTGGAACAAATATTGTACCATAATGTTTATAATAATTGTAACTTTCATTAGGCGATCATAATAACTACCGTTAAAGGATACAACTGATTTCATGGCCGCAACACCGATGGTGCTAATATTTTTGGTAAAGTGGGTTCTTGTTTTTGTCACCCATGTTCAGTAAGCATTTTGAAATACTAACTTGGATACTGGCTCCCTCTCTTTGTATTGTTTGAAACCCACGAGCACGTTTATGGTGCTGACAAACCTAGAAACATAATCGTAGCGAACCGGGATTCGAACCCA